TAGAAACTTTTAATCTTTTAAGGCATTTCCAATATAACAAGGACGCGCTGCGCACCAGTTCGAGTTGTAATTCAGAAACTTTTTGCCGTTTCTGATTAGCAAAGAATTTCAGTGACTGCAGAGAAAACAGGGAAATTAGCAGAATCAAAGCAGCCTTATTGACACAAAATTGGAGCATGCACAAGCCCACCGTTAGCCGATATTGTCCTCTTTGCCCTTTTCCTTGGTTTTAAAACGCGTTTACTAAGGAGAGGTTTCCACACCCTTATAAAGAATGTTTCGTTCCCCTTTCCATTCAACGTGGGATCTCACATTTAAATTAACAGAACAGGGAAGAGAAGTGCAAAAGAGAAGGCTTCACATACTCCAATTCTCTGAGTCTCCAAGGATCTACGTAATGCTTTTCCTTTAGTCAAGAGATTCTTGGACACCGAACGTAGAGGTCGTCTATAGTTCTTTCCACGGAAAATAATTATGGCATAACCTTCATTTAGTTTGTCCACGGATATTAAAATCCCACCACTTTCTGCTTCAAGCGATTTCGCAGTAGAAAGAACCTGATTAAAAGCTCTCTGCATGCTAATCACCTTTACCACCTCTCTGTGTTTCCAGTGTTGATGCAAACCTTCAATAACACCATCAAAGATACCACGCCTCCCTAAATTCACCAAAAAACAGAAGGGGATCTTATGTTTGCTTTCGTCAATGTAAAATCGATCAAATTTGTATGTTTTCAATAAAATTCCAAAGGCGGTGAGGTACCGAGTGTTAAGCAGCTATGCATCTTCAATCCCATCTTCCTAAAACATATCCTCTCCTCATTTGTAATCAGTTCCTGGTCTGCATCTGGCTCGACATGTCTGCATGATGCATTCAACTTTGTCAACTCCTTTGTTGACTTCTCTACCTTAAAGTCAAGCTGCAAAATCCCCATAAGAGAAAAACATCAGGAGGACATGATAACAGCTTAACAAGGATGATCAATTCAGATAATAGCACGTCAAAAGTTGTCAAAAGTTAACCGTACAATGCTAAGCCTTCGCTCTTGCTTCTTCAGCTCCCTAATTATTTTTCCCTTTTCAGCATCTGCTTGAAGTTTTGATTCTGTACTTCCGGTTGTCAAATCTTCATACTCCATTGTGATATCCTTAAAATCTGATAAAGTTCCAGCCTTGGCTCTCTCTTCCAAGTTCCCAGTGTCAAAACAAAAAAGTTCACTGGCTTTCAGCCGTGAATTTTCCTCGTGAAGTTGCCATCTTTGGAGCTCCGTTTCTCTTTGAATTATTGAATTGGCAACTCCAACAGGTAGGAAATCCTTGCCTCGGTAAAGGATAATGAAAAACTTGTTGCGCAGCAGCAATGTTCCTCCTGTGAGACTCTGAACCAGTAATGGTTATTAAATGCAATCACATCGACTCGGATTTGTTGAGTTAAACTCAAGGGCAAGAAATTCGGTTAGCCTTTAGAAAATGTTTGCATTAGACTGTTCTATACAGACAATGATTTTTCTGCTTCAGTAAAATCGATGTTCATTGAAGTACGATGTCTTTAACATATACTAGAAAACTTTCAATTATTTCAGGCTCGATGTCTCATAATTTATACACTTTTAGAACAAATACCATTTCTAGAAAACTTGCCTTAAGTTCGCACGCCATCTGCTCATTGTTTGTATTTGGAACCCCCCACTTCAAAGCAATCTTAGCTATCAGACTTTTCTCCCATAACTTTAAGATGGCAGCAGCCAACCCTTGAAGTTTTGTGTTTCTGCCTTCAAATATTTGGAAAATACAAAATTAGTGAACAGAGAAATACCCAATGAACTAGGTAGAGAATATTCAATCCAGCCATGATATAGCAGGGTCTGTATGTAGCTATGAGTATGCACACGACATCATAAACAGAGCATAAAACATTATTTATCCACTAATGAAAATGCATGTTGATTGGGGGTGAAGTTGAAACTCTATACCCTATAGATTTGGCTCAGCGCAAATGATCATTAACCATTCTTCAAAAATTATGTCGAACCGTTTCTACACTGTTATGAAGTTGTGTTGTGCTGGACCAACCAATTCAGGAAAGGAAAAAAAAAACAGATTAAGGTGGACATGCCATTGTGTTGCTCACGACCTTCACTTAAATTGTTTCGGTTTTTCTGTGACTTCCCTAAAATTTTAGGCAGAAAAAAGACAGTTATTCAAAACCCTCAACCCTGATTTTTACCTTCATCCTATCTCAGTTAATATTGCAACTGAAGAGCGCAAGAAATTTGTATTCAATGAAGAAAAAACAAAAAACTATACCAAGAACAAAATGAGTAGGCAAGGGATGTGCAAGCTTCCTCAGATATAGTAGTTCAGCATCTGTAAGCTTTGGGTTAGTAAAGGGTGGACAGCGCCTATAGGGAGGCATATATCCAGGAACCACCTCTGGAAGCATGTCAGCATCAACCGGCAGAGGTTTGTGCATCCACCAGTCAATAAAGCGAGGCCCCAAATCATCTAATAATCTGTCAGTTTCCCTCTCGTAGAGTGACCCACTCAAGAAAGAAGTAGACGCTTCTCCCCATTCATCAACATTGTTGTTTATACTTCGATTCGAACCACCTTCATCAGGTTCGTCGAGCGAAAAATCCGTGTCTGTTTCCAGGAACGGTGTTCTGGAACAGTAAGGGCTATCTACTTGCATTTTTGTGCTAAGTTTCAAACCCAATGGATAATTGCAGCCCCTGTAAACAACATGGGCGTTTTTCTTACTCCAGACAACCATACCACCAGTTTTCATCTGTACAAGAGGAACCGTAACCATATAAACACATTCTAAGCATAATATGTATGATTATAAACTGAAAGTCTAAAAATGGATGGCAGCATAAAGTGGTGATTTTCCTAACAAAGTCTTTCTTAAGGAAACACTTCTCACATGTAAATTGCAAAGGCATTCATTCCTACTTCAAATAACAAAATACTCGAAACAAAAGAGAAAATTAAGCAAAACCATCCTCACCTCAACAATTTCTCGTGCTCTATCCATATTGCGGCACAAGGGGACATCAAATTTCAGCATGGCAAGCTCATTTGTCTCCCATGTGAAGTGTATCTTATTCACAACGTCTTGAGTAACCCCAATTTTATTGACCTTCACCCATTTCTCTATTTTTGAAGCCTCACCCCGCAACCTTTCAAGCAACACTTTATCGAGACTCAACTCAGCTGAAGTCACTGTTTTCTTCTTAGGCCTCCTCAAAACAATCCCATCGTCCTTCTCCCATGGCATTCTCCCGCGAGTTCTAGACTCATCGAAACCCTCCAAATAAAAATCCCCAAATTCAACCTCCTCCAATTTCATTCCGGTTTCTCCCGAATCGCCATTTTTCTGAAGTTTTTCAATGCTTTTAGCAATTCGTCGCATTGCGTATTTCCCTGTTTTAACATTTCTTCTATCAGCTAAAGCCCTATAACGCTTTTTGTCCCCATGACCGTCCGACCCATTACTTCTTTCGGGATTTGCGAGATCCACGCCTTCTTCTTCTTGGGGTTGAAGATAGAGAGGAGCCTTCGTCCATGGCGCTGTACGGAGGTTAATGGCGGCATTGGAGTCGGAAGAGGGCCCAGACAGAAGAGATGATTGTGATCCTGTAGAAGTGGCGGGAATTGGGGCGCGAGGCTTGTGGGAGGAGAGGTGTAAGGGAGTGGAGTCTGATCGAAAGGATGGGGGAAAGAGAATCGTAGGCAGAGCTGGAGAGAAGCAAGTCGTGGCAAGCATAGTTTCGTGTGGTGTATCAATGGCGCTTTTCCATTACAGAATCGGATTGAGTAAATCAGTCGAGGACTGTAGCTGTGGTCTCTTTTATACGGAGGAAGATAGCGGGTCATCCGGTCAGATGGCGCCACCGCCACGTAGATCTTGGGATTTTTTTTTTTTTAATGATAAAAAAAATACCAAATAAATAAACTATAAGCTTAATTAAAAAAAAATATATTTCAACAAATTTGAAGGGGAGTGAAAAGAAACATTTCTTCTACGAGTGTAACAATCTCTCTCTAACAAATGTGTTTTAAAATGGTGGGACTAATGACAATACGTAACAAACCAAGCTGAATAATATCTAATAGTGGTAGGCTTAAACGGTTACAAATAATATCAAAGTCAGTTATTGAACAGTGTAAAAACTTGTGGAGATCATCCACGCGTTTTACATCACATTCTAGATGATAAAATATGTGTGAAATGGAAGTATGCATGTATTTTGGTACCAAAGACCAAAGAAAAATATAAAAGTATGATTAAATCAAATGGAGTTGTTAGGATTTGTGCTAGATTTTATGTATTAAACTAATCAAAACCCACAACCTCAATCAACCAAAAACAAACCTTGTTTGACATATTATAATGGTTAGTTTAGACTAAATTATACCTAATTTTTTTTAATTCTCATTTTATAATCATTAATTTACTTCTTTTTTTTTTTTTATGTAAAAATTAGTTTAAGATACAAGAATTTTAATATTTATTTTTCCGACAAAATAAATTCATTGGCTCGAGTGACTTGTCTCTAATTCCAAAAAAAAAAAAAAAAGTTATAGTATTAATAATAGTAAACGTTGCATATGGAATGAAGGGTAATTTTGATTTTAAAGAAAAAACCCCTTCCAAAATGGGTGATTGAATTTTTCTTGGCATGTGAAAAGACGAATTTACCTGGTGGGTCCGAAGTGAAAAAGAACTTGATCTGTCTTTTTTTTTCTTGATCCTAATCCTAATCCGAAAAGAATAGGAAAAAAAATTGACCTCTTCCCGATTGGTGGTGTTTAGACAAACATATTTTGTTGTTTAAAAATATAATGTTTAGTGGACAATTAGTGCATAATTTAGAAGTGTCATTTTCTCCAAAAACTTAAAATTTTTGTAGGTTAAGAATTTGAAATTACTGTAGAGAGCGCCAAGTTTCTTTTTTAAACCAATACTTGTATGACTAAAGTAGACTTGGGATTAAAATATATCAAATTTCCTAAAAACTCTCCATTTTGGCAAGCAAACATGCATCTCTTCATTTGCAAGTTAAGTTGAAAATTTGGGTCTTCTCAACTTTTTTCTCCCCTACTAATTCTCTTTCGTCTAAATTTCTAATCCAACCATTCTATCTATCTATCTCTTCTCTCTCTCTCTCTCTCTCTCTCTCTCTCTCTCTCTCTCTCTAACATGGCCAACTCTCAGCTCAAGCTCTTTGGTTTCAACATCTCAGAAGACCACAAATCAGTTTCCAACTTTACTGAGCCGCCGCCGGCGGAGTTGCCGGAATCTCGATATCCCCATGCCCCGAAGTTCGAGTGCCAATATTGTTGCAGAGGATTTTCCAATTCGCAAGCTTTGGGTGGCCATCAAAACGCCCACAGAGAAGAAAGACGGCTTTTGAAGAGGGCTCAAATAAAATCTTGTCATCTTAATTACTTCACGCCTCTGCACCTACACAACTGGCTCTCGTCGTCCTTTGCGCCGCAGCCACCGAGTATTCCACCGCAGGCGGCGGGGCTTCACGCTATGTCACGGCCGCTGCTGTCGCAAGATGTTTGGCGGCAGGCTGGAGTTATTACTGGGGCGGTCGGAGGTGTAGGAGATGAAGCTGTTCCCGGTAGGGGTTTGGGCCTGGATTTGCAACTTAGTCTTGGGCCTAGTAAGCCTTGACTTGGGCTTTTCCCACTTAAGGCCCATAAGGTTGTAGTTTTTTTTTTTTTTTTTTTTTTTTTAAAATCTGAAAAAAGAAACTGGAATTTTGTCTACTTATTTTAGACAAATTTTACGTATAAAGATAATTTAAATAGAAAACAAAGGCTGTACCCTTACTCATACAGTCCCCGCCAGACCTTTTAGTTTTAACCCTATTTTGAACCGTCCGATCTTATATTCATTTTGTTTTAATTTTAAAATAGTTTAATTATTGGAAGAGAATTCAACCTTTGTAGTCCGTTTTTTAGTTAACATAACAATGTTTAGAAATAAGCTTTTGATAGTTTTTCATTTTCTTCTACATTTTTCTGAAAAGATGTTTGAAATGGATGCAAATCATCAACGTAAAGAAAATCGCTTAATTAATGAATTAATTAGGTTGTTTAGGTTTTGAGGGATGAAAATTCGTAGTCGCACAGCAGTATGTGTGCAAGCTTCCCAAATCGAAGCCCTAATCAAGTAGGAAAAAGAAAATTGCAAGTAAAATCAAAGAGGTGCGTACCGCTGAAGGCGACGCCGGAGGAAGCGGCCACACAAGTCTGAATCACGGTGTTCTCCTGGCGAGTGAAAGGCTGCTTCGGTAAACCAGATTTCTCCAGAAGTCTGGTCCATGTCTTCACGAAGAAGAAACCGAGAAGATCGGCGGAGACATTGAGCGAAGGAGTAATACCGGTGGTCAAGTTGAGCTTCACCACGATGTAAGTGAACAACACGCTCAGTCCAAAGCTCACCACAAACGCTCTCGCCGTCAGATGCTTCTATTTAGTCAATTAACTTGCTACAATTACCGAAAACAATGTGACCGGAGGAGGAATGAGACTAGAAGAAGACAATCTAATGTTCATAGCATGATGGGAGAGCATATCAGAAGACAAGCTAATGTTCATAGTATGATGGGAGAACATATCAGAAGACAAGCTAATGTTCATAGCATGATGGGAGACAAGCTATGCTCGTAGCTTCATAGCTCAAGCCTGTGGGTGGACACCCACGATAGCACCAAACTTATCGATGAACGAACTCATGTCAAAAGCCTATCTATGATCATATCAAACAATGCATGCAACAGCCTAGTTAGGTAAACAAATGGAAACAGAAAGCAAGATAAACAATCAGAGAGTTGATTGAAGCAGATGAAGTTGTGTTCCAGCCTCCAAGCATTACATTAATAAATGAAGTTAAATTACAAAGGGTTGCTATGTGCACAAATGTATGAAGTCAACGTAACTATCATGCTACATTCAATTGCGCAAAATAAAGTCCAACACTACAAGCAATACATTGAAAAGTGAAGATAAATTACAAACTATTAGTATGTGCAAAATCCATTTAGTTAAGTCGGATGCAAGGTTTCCTGGTAGGGCCGGGCCTGAAAGATTTGTTAGCACAACGGATCAAGTATCACTACTATTACATATTACATATAAAGCTCTATTGCCTAGAAATTGGTGCCATCGGCATGGATGAAGACGGATTATAGAAATTGCCATCTGAACCCTGGAAGCTCTGGTAAGAATTTGTTGGTATTGTACAAGGAGACATCCCCGTCACTGGGGCACCTAAATTCGGGTACCCAGGCCTCGCTAATGGTTGCAGTGATTGTGTCATACTGTAACTGTAAGCTATGCTACTTACAGACCCAGCAGCATTCTGTGTGAACTGGGGCAAAGGGAGCTGCCCAACAGGAGGCAATGGAGGCACTGGCGGTGGAGATGACGACGGGGGTGGTGGCAGGTCAGAAGGAGTGTATTGTTGACTGGTGGACGAGGCGTTATGTTGGAGAGACTCCGGGTGTGGGAAGGGAGGGACGGGTGGCCGCTGAGGATTGGGAGGCAATGTGTAAGGCGATTGGTCATTTTCAAGTTTCAGCCTCTTCTCAGATGGATAATCACCAGGTAACTCTTTATTTGGGTTTCCAATTACACCCTCGGATGCCAGAGAAGATAGGACGTAAGAGAGCATCTGAACCGAGGATGTCGATGCAGTTAGCTTAGCTGCCACTGCAGCAGCAGCAGACTTGCGGGGATCTTCCTCAAGAGGTCCAGGTTTTGCAGGAAAAGGCAATGAGGGTGCATACATTACTGGCGCTGATTGATCTCTCTCCCTTGGTACAAGGGTGTGTGGTGCTATCGAGGTCTGAGCATCTTTTGAGGCCTCCTCCTTAGTCATAGCTTCCACATTTTCACCATTTAAAAACTGCCTGCACAGATTCTGAGTTTGTTCCGACTGGGAATGAGAAACCTGTCAAAATAGGTCAATCTCGACCGCGTAATTAGAAAAATACAGAAGAATCAATGACCCCATACTCCAACACATTGTGAAACACAAATGCAAACCTGAAGTTGATTTCGAACTTGCTCCAATTTGAATTCCTGACAATAAAAAAATTATTCAAATAATAAGATTGTCTTCTACTAACCATGTCATTAACTTTTTTCCACAGGGATGCCAAAATACCTGTTCTTGAAGAGCCTCTCTCAGATGAGACACAAGACTTGCCCTTGAAGTTTCAATTGTTGTTAATTGTTCGATGCAATCCCTCAAAATGTGATGATGTCCCCGCAGATCCTCTGCAGCTGATGTTCCACGGTATTGCCCTGTGTAGTTAAACAACAAGAACAACAACAAAACGCAAGCAATCTTAAAGTTTAGCTGAAACAAAACAAGCTGAGAAGCACAGACAACAGACATGGCAACACGACCATTTCCATAAATGTAGGACGTGGACACACTGGATAGGAGATGTAGAAGCTACAAGTACCTGAATTCACATCAGCGCCAATTTCTTTGTCCAGTTTCTCAAGATAGCTAATAGAATTCCTGCATTTGCTCAATACTGCATCTTCATCGACCTCACTTCTGTAAACAACTTGGTAGCCACAAACTATTTTATCCAATGATATGCTGCCAGATTGTTTCTGTTGAAAACAATAATGAGAATACGTGATTAAATGGCCAGACTATAAATGAACATAATTCGACACGATGAATTGGCAACTTTTTACCAGTTTACTGCTGAAATGCTTCCCATTTCGGTTACCCGTTTCCAAACTCTTTCCCATTATCTCTTCTTTAAGACTCTGTCCTCGAGATCCAAAAACTTTTCTCTCTTCCCAAATGCCAATCTGTGAGTAAAATTAAAATGGGTATAAATAAAACAAATATGATAACAGAGTCTAGCCAAAACAATCAAAATTCTCTTCCACTTCAACATATCAACAATGACATCGAAAATTATGAAGAATTGATCTTCGTTTACAGCTGACTTATTCTCTGATTGACTATTTGCACTAATATTTTCTTGTTCTTAGACAATCCATTGTACTTCCTTATTTTATAACACTTTCTAACTCTCGACTTCTGTAAGCACATATGATATCGAGCTTAGCATAGAGATATATTGTATGGTATTCAACCCACCTTGACCCACAACCGAATTCACATCGAAAAAACTTGTAAGATGTTTATCCAGGGTATGTTTCCAACTCATAGCGGTTTTATGGAATGCATTAAATTCATGAGGACAAAACATCTATTCTTTTTTAATGCAGAAAATAACATTCATTTTCCCTTAGAAATTCCATTATACAAAAAAATTTTGCACCACAAGAATTTAGCAGGGCTTTGTCTAGAGGCAGAAAATAAGAATGGAAAGCCCTTAAATTTTGAATTTAAGGATCTAAGAAACAGTGTTAACATTAGATGAGCATGCATATTTCCATACATGGAGGGAAGAAACATACAAGATAGAGGTTCGAGAAAATTTATGCATGAGTAAAAAAAAATTTGACAAAGGATTACTGTACCAGTCGTAGGGCAGCATTTCTACCAAAATCATCACCGTGCTCAATTACATCACGAAGTGCATCTGGAAGGACTTTCCAAAATTCACCAACAAACTCCGAACCTTTTCGCCTACTGTTCTGCAAAATGTCATTTGCAAGATATAGATAGGCCAACCTCTGCTCACGTGGAGAACAATGAAACTGCTTATCCCATGTTTCTACAACTTGCTTGGCTTTGTTCATGTGAAATATACACCAGTGGGATAAAGCTTGATCGCGTTAAGGATGGAACTAATAAACCAAACAGTCAAGTAATAAGACACACACCAAGGAATCAGGCACTCTCTAATGCACTTATAGTGCCTCATCTAGTGGCTAGTACCAATAACCTTAAATGATTCAAGGAAGCATACCAGAAATGGACTATTGGGTACCAGTGTGGCAGTACCACAGATTCACAGTACTATACCATAACACACAGTCGTAGAAAAGAAGATGGTACTCGGATAAACTGAGAACATACATCCAAAACCCATCTTGTAAAAACAAATGCAGAGGAACATCACCAAGACAGACAGACAGAGAAACCAAAAATGAAGAGAAGTAGAATTTCTCCCAAAACATAAGATTAAATATAGGTAGCCAAACTAAAACAATAATGGAAGCTATTTCCAAATGTGTAACAATGAACTAAAACACCTGCCATGCCCAAATATAATATATAAGAACTTAATACAGAATTTTCGACAACAAAACAAGAGAACTAAAGCAATACGTATCCATTATATAAGTGATAAAATAAAAAAGATAAGTAATTTAGCCAAAAGAAGAGAATAATAATAAATTTCAAAGAGGATACTCTCAATGCTCGCCTGTGAGTTGTTGAGCCTGGCTAGCTTGTCTACCAAAATTTGTGGATTGAACGTACCACCCATTGATTTGGATAACTTGTTTGCACAAATAACGTAGAATATGAAGGCGAATCTGTGTAAGGAGAAAATGTTCAAATCAAAGGGAATAAATGAAGTATACAATATATGCAAGTTCTGTTAGCTTCAGTATTTTGTAGTAGCAGTTGCTTGTTCTTTTTCCCCTCTCAACAAAAATCTCTCTCTTACAAAATAAATACAGTAGATGCGTGATCTCGACATAATACATAAACATAAAACGTCACCTCAAATGTGATATTGACTGATATGCAATACTAAACTTGGTGAATTTAAAATTTGGAGGGCACAACTCAGGAGATTTTTGGTGCAACTTATAGTTTTAGTTGTTAAAAATGCAGAAAGATAAATTAATGGATTCTTTACACCTTTTTCTAAAAAGAACCAGCGCATTAACTCCAAAAGAGAATGCAGAAGAAAGTGGAGGGAAGGTTAGAGTTATTTGGGTATGTTTCTAAACTTTGGCTTTCAGGAGAATATCTTATGAAAGTTCAGAATCAATTTCAATGACTCACTCCATCAAAATTTAAACATGCTACTGACCAAAGATGTCTAAATTCTAGAATGTTAGATTTAAAACCGCTGCAGTTGAACTAGTTCCACCCAGTTCTAAGAATAAATCAAATAAATAAATAGACTTTCTCCTCTCCTACTCCTACACAGAACAGAAAATTCAGACATCAAAATACTAATAATGTAGCCGCAAGTCAAGATCTACTTTTCGAAGCTGCTCTTCGACTCATCCAAGGGGGAAAACAAAAACAAAAAGATACAAAATAAAACAAAGCAATCCAAAGTAGATGCTTCAAAGCAAGAAAAATAGCTGCAAAATACTCGAAAGCAAGAAAAGTAAGAAGGATCACGAGATAGTTACATCCCCCATAGAACTATAATTACATAAGGTAGAAGAAGAAACAGAAGGTACCTGGAAAAGGGAATGTGGGTTAGAGAGAAAGCAACTAAAAGGGGATGAAATTAGGCCATTGGAGGCCTTTCTCCATGGAAAAGAGGAAGAGAATTAGAGGAAGTCGGTAAAAGGGTTTTCGAAAACAGCGGGCAAAGGGCGAATAGAGGGAAAAGGGGGAAGTAAGGGAGTTGAGGCACGGGAAAACGGAGCGTATGAAGAAGAATAAGATGACCGAAGAAGGGGACGAAGACGAAAGCCCGTAGGGGAAGCGGGGATTTTGGAAGCAGGGGGCGGCCTCGCCAGATAAGATGGGTTTAGAATAGCGGTGTGGTTTAGGGACGCGAAGAATTACAACTATTTTGGCTCCACACCACGTCTCTAGACTTTGGGCCGCATGGGCGTGGGAACTGAAAGTGGCAGTGGAACTGATTTCGGCTCTGAGATTGTGAATCAGGTCTGGCTTTGGCGCCGCTGCTTGGGCGCGCCAGGTCTGCTCTCGCGCCTCCTTTCCTCCCCTCTCTCTCTCTCTCTCTCTCTCTCTCTCTATCTAATTAATTATTATACAAATTTCAGTCTCCAAACTAATGTAGACTGCGTTGCCCTTTTTAGATGCTTACGTTCACAACAAATCTTCCCTTAATTTGCTCTCTCCACTTAATTATTACTATCAAAATACATTATTTTAGAGGTCTCACTCTCTTACTTGTGATGCCCCTTCAAGTTTGGGTATTAGCGTGCTAGCACATGTTGTAGTACCGTATACTGTATAGTATTGAACTATGAGTGTTATTTGACTAAATCAAAATAAAATTTGCAATATAGAAGATAATTATTTTTTAAAAAAAATTGAAGAATATATTCTTGTTGTTGTTAGTTTATTTTCTTAAAACATGCTTGATTTGTTTGGTTGTTTTTCTTTTTATTATTTTTCTTCCAAAAATGTAAGTATTCCCAAACGATCTATGCCAAGATGGTCCTAAAATTGAGATATTTATATGGAAAGCATTTAAGGTAGTTCCATTTAAGGATAAATTTTATTGAAATGAAAATTATCTTTTTTCATTCAATTTAGAAAATGAATGAACTTCCTTTTCATCCAGAAGTTTCGCAGTAAATATACTTTAGCAATTCCGTGTGGATTTTCTCCACTTTTCTAACGTCTCACTTCGTTCCTTTCAACTCGTTTAGAACATATTGATACAATTTAAATTCACTTGGATCCAACATTACTATAAATTTTATGTCCCAAAATTTAAGTGAAGCTGTCTTTAAAATAACTTGATTTTGAAATATTGTCGAAACACAATGAACTTCACAAGCATTGCATCTCATGTGGATTAGGTCAATTAATAGGAAGTGAAATCTTTAGATTTTGAAATATTGTGGAAAAACAACGAATTAGATACATACGAAGCTCCGATGTGGATTAGGTCAATTAAGCTATACAAAAATTACAATTACAGACGAACAAAATAACATAGAAGAATCAGAAACTGACAGAAGCGAAGAACTAGCCGCTGTGGAGTTGCACGGAGATTCAAAACCAGAGATGGAGTATTTCAGAGGATGGGCTCGATCTTATTTAGCAGAGCTCTTGGCATTAGTTGGATGGATCTTCATTTTCCCGAGCAGGGAGGAGGAGGCCTTATACCTGGAGACTTGTTTCACTTCGTAATTAGGGCTCGAATCGGTGCAGATCTTGTTCGCCTTCTCTCGTTCTTCCTTCTTTAATTTCTCGTGGCTCATCTTCCTCGCTACGTAGGCTTCAGCCAGAGAGTAGTTCATGGCGGCGACGGAGATTTTTGCAGAGCGTTCGTGGAGTAGGGATATTGTTATGGTTGAGAAGAAGAGCGGCTCTGGAAGGGGAAATTTATAGGGGGAGGTACTTGGAATTTGCTTGGACGCCAAGCAAAGCGGAAAAGAAGAGGAGGCAGCCTCGTAGGTCTGTTCGTGATGTGAAACAGAATTGACTTACGGGCTTAGGCGTCCTGCCAAATTTGACTTTTACTCTTTCTCGTCTTGGAATTATTATAATTAAATATTTGGATTTTAATTACGTCTTTTTCTTTCCATAATGATTTGATTACTATTTTTTAAAATAAATTTCACCTAATATTAATATATAAATACTGTGATGAATTACTTAACTCTACTAATTATGGCTACTAATAACAAAAGATATATATTATTTACCAACTCATTTTTCTGTTTGTGCATACGTCACTGTTTAAGGACACGTGGTGGCGCCCACCATAAGAATTGGCGTGGTGGAGCCCACCATAGTATTGGCGTGGTGGAGCCCACCATAGTATTGGCGTGGTGGCGCCCACCATAAGTATTGGCTTGGTGGCGCCCACCATAAGTATTGGCTTGGCGGCCAAGCGAAACTCCGGATAATCTAAAGGGACGAGTAATTGTTTTACATTATGCAACAAAATATGATTAAATTACTGTTTAATTTTAACTGCTGCTTGTGTGAAAACATTTCCACTTATTTAATTTCTTTTTTTTTTTATCATATTATTAAGGCTTGATATCATCCGTACGATTTTTCACCTAATTGATGTTTAGTGTGCGAAGATTTGTGAGCCTCTGGGAAGCTTCTAGAATGGTTTCTCTGTGGCCGAAGGAGCTGACTCTAATATACGCCTCGCCGCCGGGCCCGAATCCTCTCCCCGGAATAGTCACAATGTGCGTCTTCTCCAGGATCTCTGCGAATATCTCCCAAGAGCTCGATCCTGGAAAGTGCACCCATAGATACGGTGCGTTTTGGCCTCCATACACTTCCATTCCCAAACCACGGAAGGCCTCCGTTAGAATCTTGGCGTTCTCCTGGTAGGATTTCACCACTCTGCTTATCGCCTGAATTCAATCAAGATCGGTGTTAGATGGATCGGAAAAGAAACTGAGCCACCGTTACAGCGAGATCGGCTCTTTGAGTTTGATTTACCTGCAAACCTTCAGCGGAAAGGCAAGCAAGGCCACCGGCCTGAACGATGTTGGAGGCACCATTGAAGCACGTACAGACGATTCGATCGTAATCCTTTATGATCTGGAATCCATTCGAATACGATAGCTCCTCCGGAACCACCGTCCAGCCGAGGCGGACGCCGGTGAAGCCTGCGAATTTGGAGAAGGACGATATTTCGATTGCGACCTGCGAGAGGAAAATCGAGGTCGATCAAGCTTCATTTCGAGGAAAATGCGAAGAAAACAAAATTAGGACGAAAATTAGTGCCTGTTTGGCTCCTGGAATTTGGTAGATGGAGGTAGGGCTGCCGTCGGAGATGTAAGCGGCATAGGAAGAATCAAAGACGATGATGGATCCATTGGCAGTGGCGAAGTCGACGAGGCGGCGGAGTTGGGCGGCGGAGGCGGCGGTTCCAGTCGGATTGTTCGGAGAGCAGAAGAAGATGATATCCGTTCTGGGAGTGATCGACAAATCTGGAAAAAAATCGTTATCAGGGGTACACTTCATGTACACGATTCTCTCATATTTACCGTTTTGCCCTTGTAGGTCTCCTGCCCGTCCGAAAATTACGCTTGAATCTATGTAGGCCTGCCCAACAAATCCTCATTACTCAAATTACGCTTAAATTTCGAATTTACATTTCTTTAGTAATTCTATAAACTCACAGGAAAAGAAGGATCTTGCACAGCCACCGTCACGTTTGGTCCCAGAAGCATCTGTAAATGTTCATCAAACCATAAATATGTTTTTTATTTTGAACAATAATTTTAAAAAACAATAAATTATAAATACCTGAAGGCGAGAGATGTCACATTGAGCTCCATCAGAGACAAAGACTTCTTCGCCCTTTATGCCCATATTTCCGTACAACATTTCTGCAATTCTCTTCCTCAGTGCCTGAACACAGTTCAAATTTGGTCAATTTTTTTATATTTAAATTATATATATATTTATTTTGTTTAAAATTAGTTATTGAATTTACCTTATTGCCCTGCTCGTCTCCATACCCACTGTAGCCTTCCACAGTTGACAGAGCAGTTGCTTGCTGCATTAGAAGGATTAATGTTCTCGTTGAGTCTATTTTTTTTAAATAAGATTTTTGTAAACCTATGTTTTATAAAATATATTAAGAAATAAGTATTTATATTACCTTATTAGAATATTATTATTTTATTAATATGAATGAAAATACTTAAAATAATTATTTTATTAATACGACGGTACCATTTCATGTGTAATTTACCTAAAGAAGAAAGGACACAAAAGGAAAAAAATAAATAAAATAATAATTCATGGGGTCGGCATCCCAATATTGACCACGTGATTAAATTAAGCATGTTGGAAGTCAGCATCCCCAAGCATATAAAATGAAATTTGATTTTTTTTTTTTTTTAATGCTGAAAATTGAGTTGGAATAATATTCAAAATTTCTTGAAGGTTCTTATTAAATTGGTTGACTTATAAATTAGTTGAAAAGTTTAGTTTATATATGCATATAAAACATACGAACAATATTCATTATTATATATACCTTTGCCATAGCTGATGCAATACAGTCTGGTATGGGTTCGGTAGTGTCACCTATTCCGAGCTTAATTATTTTTGCATTTGGATATTTTTGAGAATGTTCGTATTCCCGTAGAGATATCTAATTCAAAATGAATATAGTTAAGACGATGTTGATCTTAAATTACAGTATACTTAAAATATAATTCGAGCTATTAATGACACTATTGAAGTTGTCAAGAATACAAATATTTAAATGTTAAAGAGCAGAGCATAAGAATAATTAATAATAATAATAATAAATGTCGCGGGCTTATTGTATCGTGCGAGTACCTCGGGGAACAAATACCCACTCCTCAGGTTTTCCATATTGGCGCTGCGCACGACTTTTGTGCAATGACCTACACGTGTCAGCATCACTAAGCATTCACATCAATCACACTCACAATTATTTTTTTTCTTTTAAATCATTTCAAGAAATCTACCGTTATCCTAAACTTAGGAATACGTATTAAACATTATCTTAAAATTTTAATTTCTATCAAATTAGTTTAAGCTTTAAGATTATTACCATCCTTATTTTAAATTAAGACCAATAAAGTCAATTCCAAAGTAACTAAGTGAGGACGAATTATTAGTAGATAAATAATAATCGAAAAATACATTATATTAATAAATGAGGACGAACGAGTCACTGTACAATCTACTTTAAAGAAGATTGACCTCAATAGCTCGTCAACCAAAAAGTAGAGGCAAAAAATGTATTTTATTTTGAATTTATCCTCGTTCAATTATTATTCTATTGCTCTCTTCCTTTTGTCAATTTAAAAAATATAAAAATGTGGAAATTTAAACATTTAATACACATAAGCAAGCCTTGATTAGTTCATCTACATCTATATTTTTCTTTTCTTTCGTACATATAGTTGCTATACACGTGACAAAACAATATCTACATTAGATAATTTATCATATATATTGATCAATCTTACCAGTTTTGTTTTCAGTCTCGTGTTCCGAGCTGCATTAAATCAATAATTAAAGTTAGAATTAACATAAACTCTCATCTTAATTA